CCGCCGGTATACCCGCACCACAATTGGCTGCCTTACAGGTGGGGGTCTTGAGGTCGTTGTTATAGTGTTTAATGAGAGCAGCGGTGGCGCAGTCTCTGCAAAGAGCCGCGTGCGAGCACTCAAAGATAGGAGTGTTGGCCAACACTTTTAACTTCTTCTCTTTTTCACAGCTCTGACAGTAAGAATCGGTTACTTCTCGTACCCAACGGTGGATTACAGTGTGAGCCACCCATGACTCCTGACGCAGTATGGGTCGGGTCTCCACACCGAAGGCCAGCGCCAGTATCTCCTCTACCGTACGCTCCACTTCTGACAACCTGTAAGCGCTGTTATCCGACTCTTTGGTCATACGGTTGTCGTTAATGCGGTTCAATAGCCGCAGACCACCCGAGTCTCGGATCAGTTCGGCGAACGGCCCCAAAGCCTGTCTCGGATTCGGTCGCTTCTTCTCTTTAGCCAAATATGTCTTAAACTCAGTGAATAGGAAGTGTATGATTGTTATCAATACTGTTTTCAAGTAGTTGTTGTCATCGGAATCCAGTTGTGAACAAAGGGCTGGTAAACAGGCTTTTGGTGATAAATATTGCGTGTGGGTAAAGATTGCATAAATAAATAATTAAAATAATTAATTTTTGTGATAATTATAAGCTGATGTGAACTTAATTGTACATTATGACAAATTAGCTATGTTAATCACGACTTTATATTGTATTATACAATTTTAAATAACTCAAAGTCATATTTACCCGGAGCCAACTCTTCCAATTGATCTTTGCTCGCCTTAAATATGATAAAAATGATTGCTTTTAATGCATTGTTTTTCACTTTCATTGAAAGATCGTTTTGAATGCAATCGACGCATATTTCAAACAATTTCTTATCAATTAATTGTTTGATTTCATTTCCTATATTATAGGTTTTACTTTCAAAGGGTCGCATTGCACAGTATCTAATAATAGTGATTGCGTTAATTTTATTAAATTCATTAGTTTTGATCAAATCTGGGATGTGCTCTAAGAGATCAATCTCTTCGCCCAACAGATGTTTCCTATAGTTTGGATGTCTGGCCAAAAGACCTAAGATTATACCAAACGCTGGGTTTACTATAGTGTCGTCATTTTTGTAGTCAATCCAGAGCTGAATAATTTGTTTCACGGCTTTAGATGTGATCATCAATTGTCGCGATTCTGTAAATCTCTCATTGAATACAAAGATTGTATACAAAGACTCACTGATGACAACAGAATCACTGAATGTTGTTAACTGTATTAAAGTCACCAACACTTGAGATGTGGTCTCAAAATGTGGCGAATAATAGACCAGACATTGAATTAGAAGAAGTGACTCCAGAATGAAGACATTGTCAACATTTGAGTCATTCAAATGACTAATAATTTATAAATTATAAAATTAATAAATATTTTTTAAATTCATTAAACATTTACCTCAATAACGCATTTATGACAGAATTATCATTGAGAACCAGTTTTACAACTTTTGGATTATTCTTAAAGACCAGACATAAAACAAAATAGATTTTATAAACCAATTGTCGTGTCTCTAAATCATCGGTTGTCTCATAAATAGTAACCAATTTGGGAATTAATGCCGCCTTAAGAGCGGATTTAATAAGTTTTGATTTCTGAATCTTAAAATCACTGTATAATATGTTTTGCAATACAATTAAAGCGCTCGGACTCGGCATCAGATCCAGTAGTCGGGGGAATACCTTATTATTAAACTCTTTTTCATTCATTAAGTAATCATCTAATTGTAAATATTAATTAAAATTGGTTTAACATTAATAGGAATTAACAATAAAATATTTGAATATTTATGTAAAATATCTTACCGTTGATATTGAGCTCATCCTTCAAATTCAAATACTTATCATTGTTTTGAATGGCATTATTGAGAATTTCATTAATTTTTTCTTCATTTGCCATAATTTGTCGACGGATTGGAAACAAAACTTTTCTCTCAATAGTAGACATTATTTATAAAAGCAATTTAATAATTTAATATTGCTAATATAAACCTTGGTGAACCAAACCTTAAATTTGAGTGAAATTTCACTATTTGTTATACGTAACACTAACAAGTAAGAATATAACTTTTTAAATGTAAATTTGCAACTTTTGTATATTGTATTAGAGTATAGGATTCACTCTTTAATACACACTCTTATATACCAGAATATATGTGAAATTCTTGCGTTCAAATGACGCTGAGTTACGGAAACAACACATGTGGTTGCGGTAAAGAATGCCGGCCCACAAATACACCCAATTTGTTCTCACAATGAGATTAAATATTTAATAATTATAATTTGGTATCATTTACATAATCTTTAGTTACACTTGTTGAATGGTACATAGTTCAGTTTTTAGTCATATTATGACAACCCTTATGCAATAAATATTACATATGAATTGACAACAATATAAAGCTATTGCAGGTATTTTTGTCTTTTCAAGTAAATGATTTCAATTATAATTGATTTGAATTGAAGTGCACTTTTAGTGAGCGAGTAATAAATAAAAGTATTTGAAATAATATAACGTGTGTTTAATTAGAGTGAAAATGCCTGTATCCCGAGCACACCCACCCCACCTCCACCCCCTTCGAGTCCACTTTGTTACGTAGCCAACAATGTATTGGACATTATTCTGCAATCAATTTAATTTTGTTATCTCCCATTTTTTGTATTTCTCATAATATTTTAGCCCTATTATAATAATAGTTGCATAAAAACCTGGTTAATCTATCAAGTACTTGTTTGTATATGCTGATAACATGAATAAATTTCCATACGATATAAAAAAATTCCTTATGGTAATCATGATACTTGGTACCTATGATTATGATACTTACTTATGAGTACTGAAATACTTTAATCCTTTCTGAAATACAATATTTTATGTGCAATATTTACCGACAAATTTTTTATTAAATTAAAAGACAAAATTATATTAAATTTTAATTAATAGATTAAAACAAACAGAAAATATGATTTTTATAAAATACACAAGAATTGTAATATTAAAATACCACAAATATTTGTTTCATGATAGTATAAAATACCTTAATAAACATCATTATCTAATTGTGTTCCCAATAATATACAAATGTAAAAATGTATATAAAGAAATAACATAATGAAATGAAATGCAGTGTAATATAAGTTATGCATAACTATAATTTCCCACAGAAATATGTTAAAATTGTTTTACTTGTGCATGGGAATTATCTGGATGATTTATTTAAAATCTGCAATTCTAGATTGAACGTTTACATTACAATATAATTTATTAAATTATACTATATAATAAACATTTCAAATGACTTGTGAACGTGTTATTTACGTGTAATAAACAAATAATCCTTAATGATTGTTTTATATATTAGGATTAACTGATTATTTCCCACAGATTTTTGCAATATTTTTATCTAGGTACACTTAACACATGACATAAACATCAATAATAACAGTCAAATAAATAAACAACTAATAAATATGCCATTAGATTTATTATGTAATTATGTTTATCTGTAATATGTGTTTAAATGTATTGCACATTTAGGTATTAATTGTTTTGCTATATGATAAAAAATAATTATGAAAAAAGTTCAATCTACAAACAAAGTAGCTCTATGTAAAAACAAACACATAAATTATAACATTTTATGAAATGAGCTAGTTGTTTACTTGCACTTTATATTTGATAATACAAAGTTTTATTTTATTAATTTCCACAAAAAATGTAATCGTTGGAAATGAAATAGAAGTATACAATTTACTTTTATTAATAGTGTCTTATGTA